TCTCTCTCTCTCTCTCTCTCTCTGTGAAACACACAAGCACGTTCTTGTCATTTTTCTCTTATATTTATGTGATTGAACAGTATGCTTTCCATCCTTCACAATCTACTGTCATTTCCTCCTTTATTTTGGCTTTCTCTTATAAGCTCAAAAGATAAGCACATCGGTTGCTGATAAACCATCTTATACACAAGTGTTTGTCCAATAAGTGTATATGTCCTTGCTCCCAAAATTTTTTTATCCAACTTGAATGTGGGAAAATTGGTGCTGTCTGCATCTGGGAGTAGCCATTTTGTGTCGGTAGTTTTGCTGCTTCCATTTTATGTTAGTCCTGGCTGATATTATAGTCTTGTCTTCCAAGCTACGCTCGATACTCCTGCAGATTTTGAGCAGAGCTATTTATTCAAATGTTTTACCATTCTTATTTAGGAAAGGTTTTGATTCTTCCATAATATTCTGGTCCTGTACAGAACCATTCATTCCCGCCCAACAGTTCTGATCCTTTAGTTTGGATAACATTTCAAGAACTACTTTTCTGACACTAGAAATTTTTTTGTATATCCTTACGACATCGGAGATTGCTTATTATCTTGTCCAGATAGCCTACTGCTATTAGTGTGTAAATGGNACTGGATTCCTAGCCTTTCTATTGTGCTGGTCTGTCGATTTCACTTGCAGCTTCTTAACTGTTTCAATTTTGTTGATTTTTTGTTTTATCAATTTATAGGTGCGGATGGTCACTGGTGATAATCTTCAAACAGCTAGAGCAATAGCTTTAGAGTGTGGGATATTAGGATCAAATACAGATGCTACTGAGCCTAATCTTATTGATGGAAAGACATTCCGTGACTTGTCCGACACACGAAGACTAGAAGTGGCTGACAAAATTTCTGTATGAGCTGTAAACTAACTTGTGATTTGGATATCTTGGCCGTGGTTAGTTTGTGCTAGTTTTGGAGAGACAGTGATGACTTCTTGTATAATCAGGTGATGGGCCGATCATCTCCAAATGATAAACTTTTGCTTGTGCAAGCACTAAGGAAGAAGGGACATGTAGTTGCTGTTACTGGAGATGGCACTAATGATGCTCCGGCACTACATGAGGTGAAAAACCTTAGATTATTTCTTTTGAGAAGGCTTTTTCTAGAAGTACATGTCTACCTACTTTTCGAGGATCCAGCTTACAAGCTACTTATCTCACCCAAACAAGTACACCTGTCACAATTTGTGGCTGAACCATGTTCTTGTCGGTTACAAATTCAAACATACACGTTGACTATTTGGTTTAGATTATAAAAGATGAGTGATTTCATC